TAAATGACCCAAACGGCACCCTGAACCTCTTTTTCTGTTGGTTCAGGAGAAGAACGAGGGGTGAAAGGAAAATATCTTGAACCCCAAATCACTAAGCTAAAAGGAAAAGCAAGCTGGAAACTGCCTGGGGCAAACCTGCTTCTCATTCTCTTCAAAGTCATCCCTCTGGTCACAGAGATAGATGCAGATCTGACGGCCTCCTTTGGAAAGGCTCATCAGAAACTCAGAAGAATGCGACCCTTTGTCTCTCACCTATCTGTGACCTGCAAGCCCCCTCCCCTGCTTGGAGTCCTCCTGCCTTTGCTTCAAGCTGTCCCACCTTTCCAGACTGAACCAATGCACTTCTTGCCTATATTGATTGATGTCTCACATCTCCCTAAAATGTATAAAAGCAAGCTGTGCCCTGATCTCCTTGGGCACATGTTGTCAGGATCTCCTGAGGCTGGGTCATGGGCGCGTCCTCAACCTTGGCAGAACAAACTTTCTAAGTTAACTGAGGCCTCTATCAAAGTTTCAGGCTTCACACCGCACTCTGTGATTCCAATCCAATGAGGAACTGTGAGATCTTCAGCAAATCTGACGATCTCCATTTCCTTGACTATAAAATGAGGGTGGAGTTCGATGTTCTCTAAAATCTACAGGAGTGCTTTCAGTTCAGTCTCTTCTTTATCCATACATAAACAATTATTTGAATTCAATTTACATACAATAAAAAAAATCCCAAGTGTGCACATACGCATTTGCTATAGAGGTTCCCCAAATGTACCTGAGTTTCAGACAGGGACACTGATCTCTACTTACAGTTTCTGATCTTTTAAATCATTATATAGCTTCAGTTAATTTCACACGGTAAGTCTTGAATCCCAACAGCTCATTTTAAGCTAAATGTTTTTCTTTAAAAAAACTGTGTATTGTGTCTTGATTTGTCTGTTGTAAGCTTCTGAAGGATGTTAAAATGAATACAAGATAAACAGCATCTCTCATTAGGCTGTTTTTTTTTAAACTCTAACTTCGGTTTTGTTCTGGAAAGAAAAATTCTTCACAAGGATGTAATTCCACCTTTTAGTCCCTGAATTAGTAATTCCTACTCTTTCATTCTCCAATTGTATGAAATGTATCCATCCTGGCAGAACAATGACATTATCAGACTCAACATCTGGTGATAACTGGAAATTCCATCTCCTTCCAAGGCCTTACGGGAAGTGATCACAGCACTAACAGTTCATGATCACCCTACCCTTTGTTAAGGCCAGGGATTTATTGCCCGGATCAGTTTCAGGGATCAAGAAGCTAAAGGTTAAATGGTATGTTAATTGCTTGATGAGTGAGACTAGCAGCTCCTGGGCCCTGCCTGGGAAAGGGAGCAGAAGAATCTTCCGAGGACATCTGCTTTGTTTGCACAAGGCATGTTAATAGTCCCAAGAGGTTGTGGAGTTTGGTAAAGTGCCATGTCTCTGCTGCGTGTGGTTCTTGGCTGTTCAGCCTAATATAATAGTGGGCCATTTCTATGGGGTGTTTTGCCAGCTGGTACTGATAGAAGGAGCCTCATGAGTCTAACATCTGCCTATCATTTCCCTTGGAATAACACCCAGCTATGCATCCTGCCTGCTCCTTAAGGCTTTGATGTACTGTTATTGCCACTTGGAAACATCTCATTTGCATGCATACGACTGGGTTTTACTATTGCCAACAGAAGCCACCTGCCTGGGCTGCCAGCGTTTCCTTCTGTAACAGCTTATTACTGCTGTTCTCACCTGTAGTGAGTGTAGGGCGTGAGGTTTGGGATCTCCAGCGTCTGGGCATCAGGCTCATTCTCCTCTTCATAGAGGGTGACCCACTCCTCCTCGTCGCCGATAGCTCCCACCTGTGCAGAGTGAGACACTGAGATAGGCTGGACGTGCCTTAGGGACTCAGG